AAAAGTTCATTTATTTCAGTAATGCAACTTAAAAGGTGAAACTAATTTATGAGATAGACTCATTACATGCAAAGCAAGATAGTTCAAGCCGTGATTTGTCATAATTGTGATGATTATGGCTTACAGCTCATGAAAACCCCAAATCCACAATCTCAGAAAATTAGAATATTACATGCAATCAATAAAACAAGGATTGTACATAGAACAATATCGGACCTCTGAAAAGTATAAGCATGCAAATGTACTCAGTACTTGGTTTGGGCCCCTTTTGCAACAATTACTGCCTCAATGCAGCGTAGCACGGAAGCTATCAGCCTGTGGCACTGCTGAGGTGTTATGGAAGACCAGGATGCTTCAATAGCGGCCTTCAGCTCTTCTGCATTGTTCGGTCTCATGTTTCTCATCTTTCTCTTGGCAATGCCCCATAGATTGTCTATGGGGTTCAGGGCAGGCGAGTTTGCTGGCCAATCAAGCACCATAATCCCACGGTCATTGAACCAGGTTTTGGTGCTTTTGGCAGTGTGGACAGGTGCCAAGTCCTGCTGGAAAATGAAGTCAGCATCCCCATAAAGCTCGTCTACGGAAGGAAGCATGAAGTGTTCCAAATTCTCCTGGTAGACGGCTGCGTTGACCCTGGACTTAATGAAGCACAGTGGACCAACACCAGCAGATGACATGGCTCCCCAAATCAACACAGACTGTGGAAACTTCACACTGGACTTCAAGCATCTTGCAGTGTGTGCCTCTCCATTCTTCCTCCATACTTTGGGTCCTTGGTTTCCAAATGTGATGCAAAAGTTGCTCTCATCAGAAAAGAGGACTTTGGACCACTGAGCAACAGACCAGGTCTGTTTTTCTTTAGCCCAGGTAAGACGCTTCTGACGTTGTTTGTTGTTCAGGAGTGGCTTGAGAAGAGGAATACGACATTTTAAGCCCATTTCCAGGATCCGTCTGTGTGTGGTGGCTCTTGATGCACTGACTCCAGCCTCAGTCCACTCCTTGTGAAAGTCGCCAACACTTTTGAATGGCCTTTTCCTGGCAATCCTCTCCAGGCTGCGGTCATCCCTGCTGCTTGTGCACTTTGTGAACATCCAACTTCTTTTGCAATTACCTTTTGAGGCTTTCCCTCCTTATGGAGGGTGTCAATGATGGTTTCCAGCACAGCTGTCAAGTCAGCAGTCTCCCATGATAGCGATTCCTACTTAACCAGACTGAAAGACCTATTAAAGGCTCAGGAATCCTTTGCAGGTGTTAGGGCTTAATTATCTGATTAGAGTGGGACACTTTGAGCCTAGAATATTGTACCTTTTCACAATATTCTAATTTTCTGAGATTGTGGATTTGGGGTTTTCATGAGCTGTAAGCCATAATCATCACAATTATGACAAATCACAGCTTGAACTATCTTGCTTTGCATGTAATGAGTCTATCTCATATATTAGTTTACCTTTTAAGTTGCATTACTGAAATAAATGAACTTTTGCACGATATTCAAATTTTTCGAGTGTCACCTGTATACTAGCAATGGAGGTTTATTGTGTATGTGAGTGTGTTCCTGGCAATCAAAGAGTTAAATGTGATGACTGATGTAGTGGCAGGAAATCTGCACTCTCTGGGAGGGACACTAACTGACTCTAACTCTATCTGAAGTCGCTCGTGACACTAATACAGTGATCAGTAAAAAAAATCTGTACACTGTACTAATGACCCTGGTAACTGGGCAGTGAAGGGGTTTAACTGGGGGGTGATCAGGGGGTTAAATGTGACCTAGCAGTGCTTTTACTGTCTCATTGTGTTGCTTGGAGTCACATGGATCCACTTTCTTCTCTCTCTGGAAGGGAATGTGCTCCAGGGAGAGAAGATTGCATCATTTCCTGCGTCTGTGTAATGTAAACACAGGCACAGCCTGAGCTCTGATTTGGTACAGCCGATCAGCTGATCCAGGCCTAACATCATTGCCCTGAATCTGGTGAGTGATTGGTGCTGTACCGAATCACAGCACTTCCAGGTCGGTGGAGGCCCGGATCACATATATATACAGTATATATATATATATATACAGTGGGGATCGAAAGTTTGGGCACCCCAGCTAAAAATTTGTATTAATGTGCATAAAGAAGCCAAGGAAAGATGGAAAAATCTCCAAAAGGCATCAAATTACAGATTAGACATTCTTATAATATGTCAACAAAAGTTAGATTTTATTTCCATCATATACACTTTCAAAATAACAGAAAACAAAAAAAAGGCGTCTGCAAAAGTTTGGGCACCCTGCAGAGTTAATGTCTTGTACTGCCCCCTTTGGCAAGTATCACAGCTTTTAAACGCTTTTTGTAGCCAGCCAAGAGTCTTTCAATTCTTGTTTGAGGTATCTTTGCCCATTCTTCCTTACAAAAGTCTTCCAGTTCTTTGAGATTTCTGGGCTGTCTGTCACGCACTGCTCTTTTAAGGTCTATCCATAGATTTTCAATTATGTTGAGGTCAGAAGATTGTGAAGGCCAAAACCTTCAGTTTACGCCTCTTGATGTAATCCCCCGTGGATTTCGAGGTGTGTTTAGGATCATTATCCATTTGTAGAAGCCATCCTATCTTTAACTTCAGCTTTTTCACAGATGGCATCAAGTTACCATCCAAAATTTGCTGAAATTTTATTGAATCCATTTTTCCTTCTACTCATGAGATGTTCCCTGTGCCACTGGCTGCAACACAACCCCAAAGCATGATTGATCCAACCCCATGCTTAACAGTTGGACAGAGGTTCTTTTCATTAAATTCTGTGCCCCTTCTTCTCCAAACGTACCTTTGCTCATTCTGCCCAAAAAGTTCAATTTTAACCTCATCGGTCCACAGAACTTGTCTCCAAAATGCATCAGGCTTGTCTATATGTTCATTTGCAAAGTTCAAACAATGATTTTTGTGGTGAGGACGTAGAAGAGGTTTTCTTCTGATGACTCTTCCATGAAGACCATATTTGTACAAGTATCTCTTTATAGTGGAATAGTGTACCACAACTCCAGTGTCTGCCAGATCTTTCTGGAGGGATCGTGCAGTCAAACGTGGGTTTTGAATTGTTTTTCTCACAATCCTGCGAGCTGTTCTGTCTGATATTTTTCTTGGTCTTCCAGATCTTGCTTTAACTTCCACTGTTCCTGATGACTGCCATTTCTTAATTATATTCCGAACAGAGGATATTGACATCTGAAAACGCTTTGCTATCTTCTTATAGCCTTCTCTAGCTTTGTGAGCGTCAACTATTTTCAGTTTCAGTTTTCTAGACAACTGCTTAGAAGAACCCATGGTGCTGATTGTTGGGGCAAGGTCAGATGAGTCTGGGCATTTAAAACCTTTGAGCTTGACATCACCTGGTCTTCCCAGATGATTGAGAACAATCCATGACACTGGCAGATCTCAGCTTGGCAAAGGGGGCAGTGCATGCTATAAATTCTGCAGGGTGCCCAAACTTTTGCAGACGCCATTTTTTTGTTTTCTGTTATTTTGAAAGTGTAAATGATGTAAATAAAATCTAACTTTTGTTGACATATTATAAGAATGTCTAATCTGTAATTTGATGCCTTTTGGAGATTTTTCCATCTTTCCTTGGCTTCTTTATGAACATTAATACAAATTTTTAGCTGGGGTGCCCAAACTTTCGATCCCCACTGTATATATATATATATATATATATATATATATATATATATATATATACACACACACACACATGGTTTTGCGCAGGGAGTCCACCCTGTAGCAGTAAAACTGCTATAGGGAAGAGGGCAAGTGGTTAAAGTATTGTCAGAGGTAACACCTTTCTTTTTGTTTTAAATATGGAGTGGAGAGGAATTATAACACCTGTAAGGTTTTCCCATTGGGGAGAATAACCCACTGTATCTGTCCTGGTGCCTGTACTCACCTGAAATAAAATCCCACATCTTTGATTGTCACCAGAACAGGAAAGGCCAGGAAATCTTCCAATGAGGACACTATTTCCAGATTCCCCTAGTAACAACCAGGGATTCCCTCTCTTTGAAGTGATTTCTTCTTGCTTTCTGTTTTGGCTATGGGACAGGAATTGAAAGGAAATCTCCACAATGGGACAAAGAAACGCACAGGGGATATTACTCTCCCTTACTCACTCTCTTACTTCAAAATGAAAAAAGGTTTTGCCTTTAGTTCGGTTTTAAGAATTGGAGAGATTGTTTTTGTCACTGACCTGTAATCCTATGGGATTCTCCAGACTAAAATAGCCCACATGCAACAGAAAAAAAAAAAGTCGTAGGTCAGAGAAAAAGTTTTTAAAAAGCATAATTCAGAGAAAACACAGTTCAAATAAAGCACAGTTCTGAAACAGGTCAGTCCAGAAAAAAAACCTGCTTTTAAAAAATGGTTTATAGAAAAATGGTTTGGAAAAAAACACTCTGTAAAAAAAAGTGGGGTTTGGGAAAACACAGTTCTGAAAAACTGCAGTTGAAAATAGTGCAGAGCAGAAAGAATGTGGTTCAAAAAATGTGTGGTTCTGAAAAAAATCATCTAAGACAATATGAGCTGTTTAGAAAAAAGGCAGTTCAAAAACAGCACTGTTTACAAAAACCTGGTTCCAAAAATGTATATTTCTGAAAAAGTGTGGTTTATAAAAAGTACAGTTCAGAAAAAATTTGGTTCTAAAAAGTTCTCTTGTCTGCTCCAAGTCTAGGGCCTTTTGAATAATTTCTGCAGTGCTTTTTGTGGTGCGTTTTTGCACACGTTACATGCTTCTCTGCTGCGTGTCCATTAAAGTTTATTGAACCAAACGCGCCTTTTGCGTTTAACCACCTCCCACCCGCCATATAGTCCAATGACAGATGCAAGATGGTTCTCTCATTCTGGGAGGACGTCATATGACGTCCTCCAATTCTCACCGCGCATGCGCGGCTCAGGGCAATTGGCGGTGCTCTGTGTCCCTCGGACACAGCGGATCACCGATCTATGGAAAGAGCCAACGATGTCGGCTTGGTCATGTGATCAGCTGTGTCCAATCACAGCTGATCACATGTAAACAGGGAAATGCCAGTTATCGGCATTTCTCTCCGCATGAGCTATCACGCTGACAGCTCGAGAGGAGAGCCGGTAATCGGCATTCCGCGGAGGGGACATGTATACTAATCATCAGGGCACTGATGATCAGTGTGTCCTGATGATCAGTGTGGCCCCAGAAGTGCAACCTGTCAGTGTTCATCAGTGCCAGTGCTGAACAGTGCCACGTGCCAGTGTCACATCAATGCCACATATCAGTGCCTACCAGTGCACATCAATGCCACATACCAGTGCCCATCTGAGCTGCCTTTCAGTTTCACCCATCAGTGCCAGTCAGTGCCACCTATCAGTGCCAATCAGTGCCACCTATCACTGCTGCCTATCAGTGCCACCTGTCAGTGCCGCCTATCAGTGCCAGTCAGTGCCGCCTATCAGTGTGCATCAGTACCGCCTAGCAGTGCCTGTCAGTGTCCTATCAGTGCAGTCAGTGCCGCCTAACAGTGCCAGTCAGTGCCGCCTAACAGTGCCAGTCAGTGCCGCCTAACAGTGCCAGTCAGTGCCGCCTAACAGTGCCAGTCAGTGCCGCCTAACAGTGCCAGTCAGTGCCGCCTATCAGTGCCATATATCAGTGCTGCCTTTCAGTGCCCATCAGTGATGCCTGTCAATGCCTATCAGTGGCCTGTAGGCAAGTGGTTAAAAAAGACCCTAACCCTTTCCAAAAGAGCAGTAGCTGTGCAACACAAAAATCAGGCACCCCCCACATAAAAGAAGAGAGAAGAGATATCTGGGAACAACCTGTCATGGATGACTCATCTCCTCTACAAAGTCCTCAGAAGCTCATGCAGTGCCTCATCTGCATGGAGAGATGGAGATATACTGCATTGTTCTAGCACTCACCAGCACAGCTCACAGAATGACACCCACTGGGCACCACCGAAGCCATGATCAGGACCAGGAAGGAGAGTCTGACACCATCCAGCAGCCTACAGCTTCTCAGCTCTTGCTATGCCTCATCTGCTCCCTATCCTCAGTCACCAGCTGCCGCTGTGTCACTTCTGCTGAGGGGCGGTGCCACCCCCATGAAAAATGCCACCCAAGGCAAATGCCTTGTTTGCCTTGTGACAAATATACACCTGCCAAGTGGTACTTACATTTAGGGCAGCATGCTCCTGGGGACAAAGGCCTGAAATGCAGACTGCTTGCATAATGAGCATTTCAGTTCTGGGCACATAATGCACCTTTTTGTTCTGAATTTCTTTCTTGTTTTTCTGTCTGTCTTTCTTACTTGTTCTAACCGTTTTTTTTTTTTTTTCCACGTTTCTTGGTTTATTTATACTGTTTTTTTCATGCTGTCCTTTTTCTCTACCTTTCTGTTTTTATACTAGTTTTTTCATACCTAGCTGTTTTTCTTTTTATTTATTAATTTGTTTTTAGCAGCTTTTTTTTTCACACCACATTTTTTCCAAACCCTGCCTTTTCCAAGCTGCACTTTTTTGATGCACATCTTACTTTTTGGGGCTGTTTCACAGCACAATCCCAGTGTTCAGTGTGCGTTTCCACATGCACATTTGCAAATGATTTTAATGTATTTGTAATTCGTACCAGTGCGTTTTCTCCTTTTTTACTTGGAAAATCTAATTTATGTGTGTTCTGGTGCATCTACACACATTTACACACATTCTGGTGCAAAGAATGCATGCTATTGTACTTGTTTTTATAAAGCACTGGAACTGAACCCAGTGGTGTGAACTGGGGAGATCAAAAAACATTGATTTTCCTGTGTATAGGTTCTGGATGTGTTTTATAAAATGCACCTGAAAGCTCTGATATATTCCACAGCCATAAAATTGAGCCCTATCAGAGTGTCTCAATTACCAGTGTGTAAAGCAGAAAAAGAATAGGCTTTGTCTTCCCTGACTTTTGTTCCCTTTGCTGTCCCCCAGTAAAAGATAAAACTAATTAGCAAACAATGGCCAGTTTGACAAGCGAGTTCATCCTATGCCTGCTGGACTTTAAACTTTTATGAGCAGAAGAAGTTTGTTTGAGTAGAGATTTTTTTCTTTTGTGCTGGAATGTCTCCAACATGAGACAAGAGAGGAGGGAGTTTGATCAGCTGTAATCCAGATGGGAAGCCCAAAAACTAGCAGAAAGGTTTGGCCAAGTCAGATATTTCGGTTCCATTGGGGTTAAAAAGTAGGTTGTTGCTTTTATTTTCTCCTGCCTCCTTATTTTACTGCCTAGTTGAAGGTTTTTCAGTCAAGAACACCACACAATCACCTCCCTCCGACTGGACCATGTTCTGTCATCTAAATATTGCCTCAGCCAAAGGCATATGGTTCTTGTAATGAGCGTTAGGGCCACAGCCCTGTGTACAGAACAAAAAAAAAAAAAGGAGCACCATCCCCCTCTTCCCTGCTCTCTTCCAGCAGTGTTTCGCTCACTTTGGGGAGTGCTCCTGGCCTACGCCCAAAACTGAGCCAGCTGTGCTGCAGCAGCAAAAGAATTTAGAAATAATTAGGCATACTGCTGAAAATTTAGAGCCTTTCTGCCGAGCCCCCTTTAACATTTATCTCTTTTTTTCCTGCATGTTCACTGACATGTCTTGCTGAGCCGAATCAGTGCTAATACATCCTGTGAAGATAATAGTTTTGCAGTTCATTTCTGGAGATCGTAGTCTTGGCACTTCTCCATCTTTTCGAGGTATCAAATTTGATGGCACATTAGTACCAAGAATCCGTGTAATTTACTGATTCCTCAGTATTCTGTATTTAGTTCCATACATTATAGTGAGGTTCCACCCAGCTGTGAATTCTCAGGGCTGAGCAGCACAAGATTGTTAAAGTGGACCTAACATCAGATATGAAAGTGATACGTAACACTTTCAGGCATTTATTAACTTTTAGAGAGATCATGGTTCTCCCCCTAACAATACCTTCATCTGCTTGAATTCCCAGAAGAACAGTACTACCTTTGCTCTGTCATCATTCATGGTCAGCATCTACTTTCTGGACTGAGATGCTGGCTCAGAGATGACACAATTATGTAAATCCTGCAGTTCTTAGTTGTGTCCACAAATGCCTTACACAAATGTACCCCTGCTTCAGGGTTTTTTGTGGTTTGGCAAAAAGCTACAATGTTCAGTTTATATCCCTGGAGCCCAACCCATGCCTCATAGGCTGTCTCTGTGTGGCCTGCCACTAGGGGTGAGGAGTTAACAGCAATGCCACGTACCACCAATGAAGGGGTTTATTACCATGGTTACTTGCACCAATGCTGGGGTTTATTATTGCAGACACTGACACCAGTGTTGGGGGTTGTTTTTGGTCACTGGCACCAATGTTAGGGGTTATTTATCATCAAGAAAGGAATACACAGGTAGGAGTCATTGTTTCCACAAAGCAAAACAGAGGGCGCACTGGCTTAGTGCATTATCCTTAATACATCATTTTCATCAACAGGTGGTAAGTATTATACTCACAAGATGACAAATGCGTCAAAAGCTCATCATAAAAATAGCAGCATCCAGTCTGTGATTCTTCCTAACACATGACAAGAAAATAGGCCCTCCAACTGGCTTATCGAGGACTTGCCTCTTCCTCAGAGCTAACAAGACAGTCTCCTACATCACCACTTAAATAACAAGGTATAATCACAGCTTGCCAAATAGGGGGCATCCCTAACACACCCAATGGGCGGGACTTATCTCCTCAAGTTTAATCCTTCTTAATATGATACACAAATCTAAATGCACCTATCAAAAACACCACAAACTATGCTGCTTGTAATCAACTCAAAATAAACAGCTCAAAGTGTAGATATAAAAACATATAAAGAATATCACAAGATTCACATGTGTATCTTATGACCCTTCTAAGAGATGGTACTATAAAAATCATCACAATGGAAGCTTGTAGTGAGCCTAGTTGTAATTCGCATATTGATCTCTGATGCACATTGAGCCTGCTTTTTTGCAAACATGTCCCTCTCTGGAATGCACGCTCACGCCGCCAAACCATAACTGGGGCCACACAATGCGTTCCAGCTGGTTGCTGGTACATCCAACTATTCACTTGTAGCCTGTCTGGCTATAATGGTGATATAATGTACTGTAGCCCAGGGTCCGCACCAACCCTTAGGGTTGTGCAAACTGAAAGACAAGACCTAGAGGTTGGTTGGGGCTCATCTGGACACAGCAGTGGCTCGGTGCATTCCAGCGTGGGATGTATAGTCGCCGTCAGAGATGTACCATCCGAGGACTAGAGCCCCTAGTAGCCAGAGGTGGAAATAAAACTTGCTGTGTCAGTTAAAAGACAGACACAGCAATAGTTCATATGGGCCATGAATATGTTCAGAACCAAGGGATAACCCATGAACTAGCGAGATTTCCACAGCACAAATGGAGGGGATAATAAAATTAATCAATTAAAGTATGAACACATGGTGCTCATGTGTGCACACATTGTGCTCAAGGTAAAATTATTAAAATATCTGAAAAATACATGGAATAAGTAAAAGAAATGCACAGCTTGTGTGCATGACTCACGTGTGGACCTTGCCACATGCACAAACTGTGGAACAGAAAATTAATGTCAATATATTAAAATATATATGCATATGCATAATACTCAATCTTCAACATGTGGACCACAAGGTAAGTATAACTCAATGTACAACTAACCACATAAGAGGCCCACTATAGGTATCAGAGGCCAATTAATTAATATACATTATACACTATTAAAACTAGTCATTAAAAGTTATTAATATTCATAGCACGTAAGAGTTCAGACAGTAATTTACTCTAAAAGCTGCAAAATCCATAAATATTAGTATCACACCAGAAATGAATCAAAGAACCAATGAATAGTATAATGTGGAATTATGCAATATTTTAGAGCGTAATACATGTGTCATCTGATTTCTTACTGATAATTGGAAGTATACATGAGGAGGTGCACACTTAATAGGTGTTAATTACAGGTGCAGCTGTCTTTTACACCCTGGTTCTTCCAGAGACAAAAAATTATTTATATAAAAACAGCATTAAATGAAAACTCAAACTCTTTCTACAATAATGTTCTTACTGACTTAGTTTACCCATTGTTTTACAATATTCATGAAATGTGCATTTTTCAATTTGTAAAACTAATAATTGTCAGGGTGGGCATCCTGGAAACCTGTCTACTGGTGCGCTACCGTACAAACCGAAGATGGAAAAAAATATGTGAAATAAGTAGATGTGTGGGCTCACCATAAGTTCATGTATTTAAGGCACACTCTTACTAGTCCATAAATACGTAGATTGTTTGTTTTATAGTTATTTTAGGAAAGCAAGAAATTGTCTGAGGGTCTTGTTAGTTTGTCCCATTATTATTAGTTAGTTCCTGGGGTAGAGGAGCTTCTTTCCTATGGATAAATACTATAATGTAGTTGTGAGACTTCCAAGTCCCTGTGACCTGCAGAGCTACACAGGTGGGA